GCGGCCGGCGTCTCCCTCTCTGTGGGCCGTGGGTCCTGGTCTAAGCCTGCTTGTTGCTGAAACAGTGGCTTGGATTTGCTGTTGCCACTAACATGAAAGCAGCCCTCAAAGGGACAGGTGGAGCCTGGCATCCAGCCCAACATTACAAACACGGACACGGGAGGTCACAGAGCCCCCGCGAGATGCAGGAGGAGGCCCAGCGCCCCCAGCCGTGGGACCCTGCCCCCCATCCAGCCCTGGAGTCGGCTCAGCCTACGGGTCTCACTGCTGGCGGGCGGAGCACAGGGCCAGGGCCAGGGAGATGGGGTCAGACTTCCCGGCAGCTGCCTTCCCTCCGTGACGGGCGGGAGCTGGGCGGCGTGAGGGATGGGGGGGTGCGATGTGTTGCCATCACCTTTCATCGCCCTCAACTGGAGACATGGCCTCGGAGCCACCGCCTGGCGATCAAGCATCGATAAAGCATCCTGATGGAGGAGGGGGCGGCGGGCAGCGGGGCGCACCTGTCGGCCGGGCCTGGGCGCCCACGGGACCTCGAGTTATGGGGGCTCCACAGCGGCCCTGAAGCTCCATGCAGACAAACGCTTCTCCTGGGAAGCCTCGAGCTCCTTAAACACTCCATCACGGCTCTGCACACACAGCCTCTGCGCACGGTAAGGTGCTAGAAGGCAGAGAAGCAGGGTCCCCGGAACAGCGACTGCCACCAGTTCAGCTGCGTGAAGAGCTGGCTGGGGTGGGGGGGCCGGGGGGCGGGGTTGGAGGAGGTCCCTGCCTGGGATGACGGTGCTGGGGTTTCAGGAGCCGAGACCACTTTTACTCCAGTTGTGATTCTGAGCAGGTTTTTCATGAAAGCGGAGCCCTGGGTGCTGGAAGCCCGGCTGCTCAGTGGGCAGAGCTCCGCCGCCTCCGGAAGTTGCCGAGGCCGCCCTGGGACCCACAGGTGCTGTTCGTGAGCAAGGCCTACGTCGGCGCTCTGCTTCTCAACGGGTTTTCCGTTTTCGCGGCAGCTTCGCCCCTTCAGTATAGAAAGTTCTCCTAATGTTAATAGTGGGATTTTCTTGTTGTAAAACGTGAAGATAATCAAGAAAGCAAATGTCACCCTGGCCGGTGATGCTAAGCAGTTAGAGTGTCAGCCTGCAGACCTCAGGGTTGGGGGATCGATCCCCAGCCCAGTCAGGGCACGTGTGGGAGGCAAGCAATCGCTGTGTCTCTCTCACATCCATGTTTCTCTCTCTCTCTCGCCCCCTCCCTCCATCCCTTCCACTCTCTCTAAAAATCAATGGAGAAAATATCCTCCGTGAGGATTAAAAAAAAAAAAAAGACAGCAAATGTCTCCCATAATCTTACTACTCAGAGATAGATGTTCCGCGTATAATTAAAAAACAAGACCCGGATGCCACGTGAACTATTGTGTCACATGCTGTTTCTAATCATAAAGATCTCCACCATCACTCCTTGCTGTGTTGCACTCTACTTCATAGCTGACCCACAAGATAGGAACCGATCTCCTATTGACGTCCTTTTGGGGAAAACATTCTGCAGTGAGCATCCTTGCACATGGGACTGCCTCCCAGCCTGCAGACACCCACCCGGGTACCACCGGCCCTCGGACCCCTGGGGGGTCAGGCTCTCGTCCGTGCTGCTTGTTAAATACAAAATGACTGTCACACCCTCAGCTTTGGGTGCCTGGAGCTTCATCTGGATAAATTCTCTAATTGGATGCATTTGCAAAGGACTATGCAATTAAGAACTCTATTTGAGACGAGATAACTGGTTACCTTCTGTGCCTGACAGCATTAAGAGCTAGTAGCAAATGAGCATTTCACTCTATTTCGAAAACTGTAGGTTTTTTTTGGTGTTCATTGTCTCAAAAGTGAGGTCCATAGAAAACAGACGTGTGTGTAACCTTTTTCTAAATATTCTCATGCTGAAGCACTGGGGGTGACACATTATTAAAACAGTAGCACTGGCCTGGCCGGCGTGGCTCAGTGGTTGAGCGTCAACCTATGAACCAGGAGGTTCAATTCCCGGTCAGGGCACGTGCCCAGGTTGTAGGCTTGATCCCCAGTGTGGGGTGTGCAGGAGGCAGCTGATCCATGATTCTCTCTCATCATTGATCTTTCTATCTCCCTTCCTCTCTGAAATCAATAAAAGTATTTTTAAAACAACAACAAAAACCACAGTAGCACTGGCATGCTCTAAGAATGAAAATGTTATTTCTCAGGACGGGATCTCTGCCATTGGAAGGAGTAGTATAACTGAAGTAAAGCTCCGGCCGTCATAGGAACGCATTAAACACCCTCCGTAGGTTTTTCCGACATGTAGGTTGACAGTGAGGTTGGGAAGAGAGAAATAAAGCGAGAGGAGAGTTTGATGCTTCCGGCTTTTCTGCATTAGAGATGATTTTGTTGAAGGCGCAGAACCGGAAGCGGGCACAGAGGCACCTTGGAAGTGCCTTTTATACAAATTGGCCACCGACAAGTAGTCACCGTGCATCCGACTATCGCCTCCACAAAAGGTAAATCATTTTCAGAGAGAACCACAACCAGGCCGTTAAGCCACTTTAACTCACAGAACCAGGTGGGCTGCACGGGCTGCTCATGTGAGAAGGTGCGCCTGTGACAGAGCTCAGAGGAGTGCGACCTCACATGGCACACAGACGACGGAATCGGCGGAGGAGACTCGCGGAGCAAACCTTACTGAGGAAGGTCTACATGGACGCCCACCACAGGGTTAACCGGGATGTGTGTGGTCGTGGGCGTCTTTGGGGGGCTGTTTACTTTTCCTTACAGCACTGGCCATATATTCCTTTTGTAGTAAAAACAAAGAAGTGAAGGTTTTAGTAAGTCTATTTCCATTCCTCTACCTGCAGTCGTGGGATGACCCAAAGGTCCAGATCGGTCCCACTCATGCTACTTACCCTGTTCCTCCAACAGCCTGACAATAGAGAGACACTCCCACACCCACGGAGACACTCCCACACCCACGGAGACACTCCCACATCCACGGAGATACTCCCACATCCATGGAGATACTCCCACACCCACGGAGACACTCCCACACCCACGGAGACACTCCCACACCCACGGAGACCCCTCCCACACCCACGGAGACACTCCCACACCCACGGAGACACTCCCACACCCACGGAGACACTCCCACACCCACGGAGACCCCTCCCACACCCACGGAGACACTCCCATGTCCACGGAGACACTCCCATGTCCACGGAGACACTCCCACGTCCCCGGAGACACTCCCACACCCACGGAGACACTCCCACGTCCCCGGAGACACTCCCACATCCACGGAGACACTCCCACATCCACGGAGACACTCCCACGTCCACGGAGACACTCCCACATCCACGGAGACACTCCCACGTCCACGGAGACACTCCCACACCCACGGAGACACTCCCACGTCCACGGAGACACTCCCACATCCACGGAGACACTCCCACGTCCACGGAGACCCCTCCCACACCCACGGAGACACTCCCACACCCACGGAGACACTCCCACACCCACGGAGACACTCCCACGTCCACGGAGACCCCTCCCACACCCACGGAGACACTCCCACGTCCACGGAGACACTCCCATGTCCCCGGAGACACTCCCACGTCCACGGAGACCCCCCCACACCCACGGAGACCCCTCCCACACCCACGGAGACCCCTCCCACACCCACGGAGACACTCCCACACCCACGGAGACACTCCCACACCCACGGAGACACTCCCACACCCACGGAGACACTCCCACGTCCACGGAGACCCCTCCCACATCCCTGGCTGCTCCTCAAACCCCATCAAGGAAACGTACCACCAAGGGGCCTTATTTTCTCTCCACCTTCCGGAGAACACCTCGTATTGTCCACTGAGATATTTTTTAAACTGTACACAAACAGCAGCATACAAAAATCAAAATATCCCGCAACACTCTTACATGAAAACAAAGAGCAGGCAAGTGTTTACTGTGCTCAGGGAGACGTATCAAAAGCAACGTACAGGCTCCTGCTCGGCTTCCTGGCTGTCCAAGAGATGTGCCCGGAACTCTATTTTAAGACGGAGTCACAAGGAAAAAGCTGAAAACACACTGTTTACTGCTCACAAAAGCACAATGGGGAGATGGAAACATGCCCGAAATAGGAAGGCAGGGAAACTGTCATTTCAGCAAAAAAACAAAACAAAACAATAGAAACCCCAGCAATTCACTGCCGGGTGTGGCCTCAGAGGCAGGCGTGTGGAAGAGAGGATGGCTCCGGGCTCCGGAAGGGATCTGTGGCTATGAGTACAGATGCCCAGCGGGAGAGCTCCCTCTCTTCTGATCCCACCACAGGGAGCAGCGAGGGCCCTCGGACGGCAGGAGCCCCTGGGGACACCACACAGGGCGAAGGGCTTCAAGAACATGCCCGGCTTCTCCTTACGCCGGGAGGCAGACAGCTTTCAACGGGAAGGCGGACACCATGTGTCACCATAGCCATGTGCTCCGGAGAACACTGTAATACCATTTTCTGGAAATTTACATAATTTTATTTAAAAAGGGGTCCCATTTTTAACTAAAAAGATAAAATAAATACACCACTGGAGACAAACTCGGAAAGATGATCTGAACCCTGGGTATTTCTCAAGGAAAGACACACTTCTGTCCATCGGAAGCAGTTTCCTTCTGTCACCCAAGAATTGCCCAAAGCCGGCAGCGGCGGACACTGGCACGGGCCGAGCAGGCGATGCCCGGTGCTGCCCCTCGGACACCAGGCTCTTAAAGAAGGGCTCTGTGCCAAACCCGTGGAGTGAGACAGTCCTTCTGCAGAGCGACAGGCTTTCTATTTCCCATTGGAGCTCTGTTTGAAGTTCATCCCAGCCTCGAATTCAAATGCGGACCTTGAAGCCACGCCTAGTCCCGTTCCTCTCGGCGCCAATACAAACCACGCAGTAGCTGTCACTCATGTGCCTTAACGGCCCTGCCATGTGATAAGCAAGAATGAACGCGACTCACTCATTTCGTTCCAGATTCAAGATCAGCTCCTCGCTCTCCAGTTGTATTCGAAAAGTCAGCACCTCTGGGTGATTCTGCAAGACAAACAGGGAGAGTCCTTGAAAAACATCCCGCGTTGACGTGCCAATATCTGAATCTGCTCCCCAGGCAGAGGCAGTGGAGGGGGAGAAGAACAAGGCTCTTCCGAGACGATTCCAAGAACCCGGCCCCCAGGACAAATCAGGGTGGAAAACTCAGCATCGTGCGAGGCACTGACCGGCTGTGGTTCTGACCTTCCCACTCCCTTCCTCCGGCCCCACGCCCGGGGGCCCTTCCCGACTCTACACTCCTTCCCACAGTCAGCGCCTTCCTCGGTTTCCCTTCTCCACAAAGGGCGCCTTTCTCTCCCCAGCTGCTCGGGTCCGAAGGAGAGGTCCTCCCGGAGCGCACCAGCTCCGTCTTCCCCACCCAAAGGCCCGGTGCTTTGCCGTCCGAAACACACCGCTCACTGTCCGGGTCCCGTGTCCCCCCCATTCCAGCTCGGACCTCAATCACCTCTCACCTGCGTGATTGCCAATCCCTGCTGACCCGGATCCGCCCAGACCTGCCTTGGCTTCCTTCCCACTCATTCTCCACCGGAAGCGAGGGGTGTCTTTAAAAACACAACCGCGCGCTCGCTGGGTAGCTCAGTTGGTGAGAGCACCATCCCCTACGCACTAAGTTTTCAGGCCCAGTCCCCGGTCAGGGCACATCCAAGAACCAACCAGTGAATGCATAACCCAGGGGAACAACAAATCCATGTTTCTCTCTCTCAAATCAACAAAAAGATAAAATAAAAACACAACCTGATCAGCCCGCCCTTGCAGATAAGGTGCCTGCACTCGCATCCCAACCGCACCAAGAGTGAGAGGTCAGCTCGGTCACGGGGCCTCCAGGGCACCCACGGCCTGGCCTCACCCCTCCACACCGCACTCTCACCCCCTCCCAGCCACCCGGCCTCTCCAGCTCCTCCCACCCACCGAGCCCCTCGGCAGCTCTGAGTCCTTGCACACACCGCCCCCTCTACCTGGATGCCCTCCTCCCACCCCTTCCACTCGAATCCACTAAATGTCAGTCATTCACAGAAGCCTCACGTCTCCCCACCACCACCCCTCCGGTCTAATCGCAGCCCCTCCCCCACCCAGGTGTTCTCCCTTCCCGTCTCCTGTCCTTTCCTCCTCGTAAGAACGAGCTGCCTTCCTACTTGTGGAAGTCAGTGTGCTCATCTGTGGGTCCCCTTGTTTATTATGTCCATGAAGATGCCAGGCAAGTGACAGAAGCTCATAGTACCCGGCGACGGAGGGAATGAGTGACCCGGGCACACAGCTCTACCAACCTCTTCTTCCTCCCCTCTCCTCCGGCCCAGGACGCCCTAGTCCACGCGTGCCCATCTGTCAGGGGGAGGCGGGCATCTGTACTCTCTGTTCTGCCTTGAAATCCCGCCCCGAGAACATGCCCCTGTGGCAGGTCCCTTAACCTGCATCCCAGGGTTCCCTCCCTGAAACAGGCGTCAAATATTCCCACTCGCTCCTGCTGAGCCAGGTCAGCGATTCAAAGTCCTTGCCCAAGACAACATCCACTGCCCCGCCCCCCCCAACACACACACACACACACAGATCTGCTCTGCACCCGGGGATGCTGGGGGTTTCCATGTCCCCGGGGCATTCCCCGCTAAGAGAATGGAAACCTCGAGTTTATTTTTAAACACAAGCGCTGGGTTTGCATTCTGATGATGTGCTAAGACCGCGTTCAGGAGGGAGCCTGGAGGCATGCCCGACTGTCCAGGCGGATGCGGGACAGGTCAGTTCACCGAGGATGCGGTCAGCCTAGCGAAGGGCCAAAGGCCGGCGCAGCCCAGGCGGAAAGGAAGGTTGCCCAGGGGCTTACAGAGCCCAAGGGGGGCGGGGCGAGCTGGATCGGGTGGAGGGCAGCGGGCTCTCACCTGAAGGGCAGCAGGAACTCAGTGCACAGCCTCTGCCCCTCAGCCCCGCCTCTGTCCCTCTGACCCTCGGCCCCGCCTCTGTCCCTCCGACCCTCGGCCCCGCCCCTGCGCCTCACCCCGCCTTAGTGCTGGGGGAGGTTTCAGTCTAGTTCAGACAGCCCGCCACCGGCTCCCCAGTGCTGCTAACTTCAGTGGCATCGGTTTTGCCTGCCTTTGCTGTGTCAGTTTATCCGTAGTTTTCTAAGATTCCACACATTTGAACGGCCCTCAAACTCCATAATTCAAGAGACTTGTTTATAACAGCATTTCAGCTACACGGAATTAACTGACCACATGCTAAGTTTTAAGAGAAAAAGGGGGGGGGGGAAAGGAGAGAAAACAGATTGTAAATTCCAATATCCAACATTACAATAATTAGTTAAGTGAAACAAAATTTAAACAAAAACCACAACTGCAGGTCCCTGGAGTTTTGAGGAAATACCCCCGCCTGCCTGCATTAACGAGGCCCTGAGATGGGGTGGAATCCTAGAGGGTGGAAGCTACTTACGTACATCTTTTTGTAGTTTCCTGTGTTTAATGTTGTAGCCATTGGCCACATATGGCCACTTAAATTTAAATTAATTAAAATCAAGTAAAATTTTAAAATCGGTTTATCATTCGCAACAGACACATTTCAAGACTCAATGGCAGCAATCTGTGGTTACATTGCAGACGGAGAATATTTCCACCTTCCCAGGAAGTTCACCGAAATTACGATGGTCATCGGACATCTCTGAGTCATCAAAAAGACCAAGATTGCATAGCCCAACCGCTGCCTGAGTAATAGACTAGTGCAGTTATTAATGCCCAAAGGATTTGTTTTTAAAGTATGCTTTAAAAAGATACTTTTCAATCTTAATGATGGGAGATGTTATTATTTTAAACTAGAGGCCTGGTGTATGAATTCGTGCACCAGTGGGGTCCCTCGGCCTGGCCTGCAGGATCGAGCCTAAGCTGGCTCTCTGACATCCCCCCTGAGGGTCCAGGATTGTGAGAGGGTGCAGGCCAGGCCGAGGGACCACACTGGCATGATCGGGGCTGGGGAGGGACGTGGAAGGTTGGCCAGCTGGGGAGGGACCGCTGGAGGGCTCCAGGGTGTGTTTGGCCCGTCTTATTCAGTCCCGATCGGCCAGACCCCAGCAACAAGCTAACCTACGGGTCAGAGCATCTGCCCTCTGGTGGTCAGTGCATGTCATAGTGAGCGGTTGAGCAGCCTTAGCATATCATTAGCATATTACACTTTGATTGGTTGAACGGCTGACCAAACAACCAGACACTTAGCATATTAGCATTTATTATATAGCATATGTTTTTATTGATTTCAGAGAGAGAGGAAGGGAGAGAAATAGAGAGATAGAGACATTGATGAGAGAGAAACATTAATCGGCTGCCTCCTGCATGCCCCCTACTGGGGATCAAGCCCACAAACCAGGCATGTGCACTGACAGGGAATAAAACTGTGACCTCCTGGTAGATGCTCAACCACTGAGCCACACCGGTTGGGGGGGTGATGTTATTTTTTAAGTGATTTCTTAAGCTTGAGAGTTAAACTGATGAATTCCCATGTACATGCGATGCTTATGTATATTTTCTTGGTTTAAAGAGATTTTGTTTTTTACAAATTCATTCTAGCAAATGACTACAACTTTAGAGATCTGGTGAACCACACTTCTTAATTGATATATTTGACAATGTCTGGTGCTTATAAGAATTGTATGGATTTCTGAGTGTTTGTTGAATTTTAAAAATCCCTATTTCTATTCCTATCCTGTGCAACATTAAACACATCACTTGTGTGGATTTTAACATAGTGTGCAAAAGTGTTTCTAAGACACCCATTTGCTTTTGAGTCTGTCACAGGGACTTCTAACTAAATTGGCCTGTACCTTCTGACCCTTGGGTTTAATTAGAGACACACAGGATGTTTTCTCCAGGGTTTGCAATTTATACTCATTAATTGTATCTTAGAAAAACAAGGTATTAATTAGATTTACAATGAAATATTAGGACAAAAACATGTATCATTTTTCTGTAAAGATGTACCAGGGTATATATGTACATCTGTATTTTATATGTCTGTGTAAATAACTTAATTATAAATTGTTTGTCTGAGATATTGACACACATGGCTATTTTAAAGAGAAATCCTGACACTTGTATTTGTGAGTAAATATAAGATATTTGCAGTACCCATTCATTCCCCCAAAGAAGTGAACTAGTTTAAACATTAACATTTGTACTAATTTCACAGAAAGTCCCTATAGGAGCTGTTCTAACATTCCAATGTCAACATTTTCAAAAGAATACATTTTCTCGCAGGGAGGTAAGAAGATCTGGATCTGTATATTTTAGTTGAGGATCTGAATGGTACAGGAGAAATCAATGGAGAAGGAGAACGGGGAGCTATTTCCATTCAAAAGCACTAATTGCTTTAGATTTCTTAGTTTAAAAACACGCATTCATTCCATTTTCTTTTGATCTTCCTGCATGTGAGATAACGATCCAGGGCTGGTTAAATACAGCGGTCCTTTTCTTAAAGATGACATATTGATTACCCTAATGGAACTGGGTCTTTCATTGAATGCTTACAGACTCGCCTTTGCTGAATCAATCAATGAAATGCTAATCAATAAGCCGGAAATGTTTGGGCAGTCATAATTCTATTTTTCTAATTGGGACCGATATAAAATGTATAAGTACAGCTTTAAAAAACAACAATACAGTCATCATCAGGGTACCGACCAGCCAGCTGAAAAATCATCTTAGAAGGCCCTGCCTCAGATGGCTGGGCTTCCATCCCCAAATGCCGCCGACTGGGTAGCTCAACCAACAGGAGTTTATTCCCGCCCAGGTCTGGAAGCTAGAAGTCTGAGGTCGAGGTCTGGTTTCCTGTGAGGTGTCTCTCCTGCACGTTTCTTCCAGAGTGGAGTCTGGGCGGGGTCTCCCAGAGGTTTTCCTGGGCAGGTCTGCAAATAAGGCTCCGGCTGGGCCCGTTGTCCTTCGCTCGGACCCCAGGGGCCCTGTGCTCTCTCTGAGGCCTCCCCCGGCCCCTCGGCCAGCACATCCTACAAACAG